TGCCAGGTTTGGTGCAAATCTCAGAAGGAAAATATGAGCACATTTCAGTTCAGTCCCTTCCTAGCCTGCTTCATCTCCCAGCACAGTGGTTTTACTCCATTCCCCATTCCTTCAGAAGGAGCAATTCAGAGTAAAGCGTTCCTGATCACTCTTAATCTCTTTGCCACAACATGCTGGTGGGACTTGTCTCCAGGTCCTTCTCACTGTTCCTCTCATGGGAAAACAAGACATATATATTTGTCCAGGAAATTCAGAGTAAAAACCTACTGCAAATAAACAATTTGAGTGAACTTTTGAGTAAGCCAGTCTTTACCTAGTTTTGCTTATGTTCAGACTATGGTCTTATATTATACTACTTAAAAAAAAACCCTTGAGAACTCCTTCACAGGTATTTTCCACAGATCATTTAAAATGAGGCTTAAATGGCAACTTGTTTATACCACAAAAGGTGAAATTAGTAAATGGATGACGCTGTAAAAATTCAACTAGCTTTTAATATTGAATTTCTATGGATCATAGGTTTGTTTCATAGCTTCTATGAAACCTGCCCTAAAGAATAAATGAAAAATAATTACAATATCATATTTCAAACATGTTTTAAGCATATTTCAATTGTGACTGCCAGTGCAAGTGGGGCTACAGCAGAAATGGTAAGAAAAGCAAAAACTGGCTCAAGACTTTTCCCCCTCCCCTGCCTCCCATGAGTTTTTGCCAAAGCAGATGACACACCAAACTGTGCTACATGGCAAACTGGAGCAGAGAATTGATCTGAGTCTAAAGTACCTCCCCTGTTTTCTTCTTAGGCACCACTGACAAAGGAAATTGGCAATATTCACTTCAGATCCAAATGCCCACATCCTTAGGCCATAATCTGAAACCCTGATTTTTCACTCAGGAAATCTGGCATTTAGCAACAGAAATTCAAAGCCAAAGAGCCAGTTGCTCCAGACTGCATCGTCACAGATGACCCATCTCAGGTTCACTGCTAAGTTATCTTGGTGCCAAATAACTTTTCCACACAACAGTCTTCCAGCACAGGAATTTAAGAACCTCCAAAAGAGGGAAATATAACCCAGAAGGAAAATGAAAAAAAAAAAAAACAGTGAAGACAAAGCAAATTCAACTATACCCAGCAACATCCTGGGAAAAAGAAATGAATGAAGGAAGAAGTTGTGGATAGGTCTTTATCTGATTTTATACAGTCAGCATAGAAATGCTTTATCATCACCTACAATACAAGCAACCTGAAATTTTTTGTACTGTATAGAAGCACATATCTTTTTTTGTACTAAAGAGAGTTAATTTTCATCTATTTCCTCTATTTCCTCCATTCAGGCAACTACTTAATACATTGATCTTTGTTGCATTTCCATTTTCTCCACCAATACATTTCTTATAATTGGAATGAGCTGCTCTATTAAGCTTCTTAATAGATTCTATGTTCTCAAAACCCAATAACTTCAGGACAATACATTAAAATAGACAACAAATTAAGCTTGGTGTTTGTGAATGTGAGACCCCATCAACAGTGACCTTTAAAGTTACTGCAAGGACGCTGTTTAAAATTGGTTGCAGAGAAACCAGTATCTGATATTTGTAATTGCATTAGTTTGTGGCAATGCTAAACACTCTGAGATCTTTTGATGGCCAGGAACAAATTACAGTTGTGATGTGAAGCAGCAATGCACTCGTGCAGATGTCAATGAATTCACCTAGAGCCGTGAACAGGACCTCTGCATCACCCAGCACAGACACAGCCTGGTCTGAGTGATGGAGTCTGATCTTAGGTTTGTATATGCAAGCAGTGTTGAGCATTACACACAGCACAGAAGAATTTTGACAGTCTAACATATTTATTTTAATTATATCAATTGGATCCAATAGCTATGCCACAATATCACATTAACTTAGCTTGAAATACCATGTGAATAGAGGTTTTATTTGCAAACCATTACAAAGATGTAATTCCATTTAAAAATAGCAAGCAGCATGAAATAATTCTCTCAAAGCTGGTTAGGCCCGGTATGATTTCTACCTCTGCCAATACAGCTACCTTCACATGCATTTTATATTCATATTTTATACTCCTAAGTCAGTCAGAGGGGCTTTCTGCCACAGCTGAAGAACAAGGTGACCTGACAATGTGGAGGATGAGCACCTGAAACACACTGAGCAACCAGAGCCAGGGGAGGGTTAACAGTTAGCAGGAATGAGACTTGGTAAAGTGAATCTGGGTAGACAGCCATGGAATGGAAAATTGTCTTCATCTAGCTTTATGCTTCCTGGGAAAGGTTTTATTTAAAAGTGAGCTCCCAGCTGCCCTTGGCTGGCATGAGCCTCTGCTAACCACTTCCACAAACAGCTCCACGGGTAACATCAGCAACACAGCTGCCCTCCTGGCTGCCTATCGACCCCTCACACCTCTATTTATTTTTAATTCCAATGCCTGTTTCCTTGCAACTTCGGTTTCTCTTCCAAGTTACACATTTCCACAGCCTCACAGGGTGGGCTGTTGCTGTTGAAATCGCCCTGGTCACAGGCAATTGGTCAGCAAACACTTCCATGTGAAATACTTTGGCATACAGTTCATTTCGTATTACCCTGCCTGGATGACCTGTATAGCACCTTCTACCAGCACATTACTTTTTTTTAATCATGGAAATCATTGTGCAAACGACTTTGCTTTTTGTTACAGCTTTTCACATTTGCCTCGGGCTTAATGATGAACACAACTGCTAATTATTTGCACCTCCCACAGCGCTGACTGGGCTTATCCACTATAAGAACAGTTCAGCCCCTCGCTCCACCACCTGCCAGCCCAGGACTGCTGCCAGCCATTCCCTCTGATAACCCAGGCTGTTTCAGCAGCTGAGGAGGAGCAGTAAATATTGTTTGTTTTCCTAGGGCAGTTTTACTTGGAGGCTGTGGTGAGGGATGTGGGGCTGGGCAGGGGCACAGCTGAAACATTCCACGCTAAAACCAGGCCAAAAGCACCGTGAGAGTTCGCTGTTACTACTAAAACCGAGATTTATTTAGTGTTTGGGGACAAAACCCAAGTACCTTTGTTAGTTGGCATATGATGTTTCTCCTCAAAAGCAACATTACATCTCTCCCAGCCGTGCAGGGGCTGTAGCTATATTCAGGCTGACAGGAATTCCAGCCTCCTTCCTCATGGTGCTCCCCCTGGCACTGCTGGAGCCTTCCCTGCAGAGCTGTAAATCCGGGGAGCAGCAGCAGCCGCCAGCTGAAGGCCCTGACCCGGCTCCCTGTGCCACCGCCTTTCCCCTGGCAGGGCTCGCGACACACACCAGCTCCCATCTACTGCCCACTGCTTTTTAAACTTGTCGCCATTTAAAACAAATCTGTTAAATTTGCAACCTTTTCTCCCCCACTGAAAAAGGCCACCTGAAGAAAACAAAAAGTATAATCCAAAACAAGCGTCTTGTACCGTCGTCCCAGGTGTGACATCTTCGCGCTCAGCTCTCCAAGTGCTCCACAATGAGAAGAAGACTGAAGTCCCCCACTTTTGTCTCTGGCAGAGCTATTATGGATAAACCAGATCCAAGTTATTTTTCATTACATAATGTGAAAACCTGAAGTCAAATTCAGTGAAGTCAAATGCAGTGGTAACTTCCCAGGCACGCAAAAAACCAACTGCTTGTCACATTGAACATGTGGAAGATTCAAACAACAGCACCTAGGATGGAAGTTCGCTCACAGCAGCATAAAACCAGCCTTAAAACAACACTTCCTTGATGGCTTAGATTAGACCTAGCCTAGCACAGCTGGACAGAAGCAGAAAGAACCCTGCAAAAACAAAGTGATGGCAAACCATCCTGTACTACTCTGTGGGGCAAAATGCCAACAATTTCCTTGTAAATCTCTGAAGGCAGCAGTTGTCTATTCAGCAGAGACTCTTCAATTATTCAAACATAAATCATGTTTTCATATTCATGTGACCTCATCTGAATCTCTCAAGGGAAAAAAAAAAATTACTGACAAATTTATTTGAGTCAGGCGTCAGCCTAATATCACATAGACAAAGATGGATGCATTAGAATTTCAGTATCAGTAAACAGAATATTATGAGATTAATTAAGAAAACCCCAAAATACTAAATGTAAAAAAAAAAAAAAAAAAAATCTACAGACCCATTCAACCAAAGGCTTTTGTGTGAGGCAGCCTGATCCCACATGGGATCTCACATCTGAGATAGTAAATATTACTACAGTGCAATAATAATGAATTTCAGCTTGATGACAAAGAGTAAACATTCAGGAAGGAGACCAAGAAATTACTGATATTATCTGCCCCACTGCCTGCTTGAGGATGAAGTATTAAAAATGGGTATGTCATAGTAAATACTTGAGGCCATACATGACATAAAAAATAAATTCTTTTGCTCTTCCAATAAAATGATCATTCAAAGTCTTCTGTCATGCAGAGAAAGAGTTCAACTGTCAATTAATTTAACAGGATTGACCTCTGCATTCATCTTAAGCCTAACAATGTACCATGAAACCAAGCTGGCTGGACACAGGAAGATTTTCCCAAATGAAGCAAGCTACCCTGTCAGTGCTTGCCCCACAGAAAATCAGAGTAGCTACACATTTGAAAAAGGTCTGATACTGTTTGCCCAGAAAGCTGCAGTCAGTGAGGGATCTACTGACAGCCTCAGGGTGCCAAAACTGGCCAAGTAACACAAGATCTGGATGCAACACTATTTTGAAGATCTGTTTAATAACCTAGTGAGAAGTGGAAAAAACTGAGATGCTTTCATGCAGGGGCAAATGATCTAAGCACAGGAGTGAGCTGCTCTGATCAAAGATAATGAATTTCCAAAACTCCTAGCTGGTGATAGTTGATCTTCACACCTTTTAATGAAAGATTTGCCAAGGGCAAAATTTAAGTCATAGCTCAAAGTAAGGAACATATTTGGAGACATTCAGGGGAGTTTTCTTCCACTAAAGTCCACTAAGACAAAACACAAAGAAACATTCTGCAATTGACATTAAAATATTTTATTGGCTAGATAGAATGTGCAGTATGCATAGAAATATACTGAAATACAAAGTCCTCCAGAATACTCCTGTATAAAAACCACAATTCATACTTCTACATCTTATTTATATACATTACCAATGTATTCAAGAGTTAAGGTCATATTTGCATTTCTTTCTTCTCTTGAAATCACATCTAATGTAGTCCAAGGCCTTTTTGTTTCTTCAAGAGAAAATTGCACAGCTACCCTATTTCTTCATTTGGCCTGAAATCTGATGAAATTTTACACACTCTTCTCTCCCTTGCTCGATCCTTTCAAGCTTGACTTCTGCCTCTTTTTCTCCCTTTGTCCCAGTATGCGATAGACTTTCTTCTTAGCCTCCTTTTGCCTCTTGAATTTCTGTTCATCCTCCTTCTGCTTAACTTTGAGATACTCTTTAAGCTGTTCCCGATGCTTTACTTTGGCTTTCTTTATCTTGTAATTATTCACTGTACTCAAAGCACTGAGTAGAGCTGATATCTAGAACAGAAAATAGACAATCAATACACACACAGCTCAGTTTTGGTGAGCAAGAAACAGTGTAACCTCAGCAGAGACACACATAATGAATCAGAGATTCAAGGCAAGTTCCTAATTATCTCTGCACCTGTTACCCAATTTCTAAAATGGTTTAATTATTTATCCTGTTAGGAAGTTAATCAAAGCTTTAATTTTTGTGAACTCTGATTTTGGTTAGATAGCTTTTAAAAGGCTGTGCCTAATTGCTACTATAGAACACTTAAACTGCTGTTTGGATCTTCTTGCCGCTGCAAGTGCTCTAATTCTCAATTTTGGAAGCAGAGTATTTGCTTCAAATCTTGTCTGTGTTAATAATGCATGGCAATGACAAGTCAAATAAAAAACTGCAGCTACCAATTTAAGCCATCCATAATATGAGAGCACTTAATCCAGGTGAAATACCTTGCAAGTGCTGTGACAAGGACAAAAGTTGTATTTTGGCTTCAGGTGACCTACTAGTCTAAAAAAATAGACTAGCCAGCCACTCAGTGACAGTTCCATACACATACTATGTGCCAAACAGGAACAAATTGCAAGTGATCATTTTTCACTAGCAACATCTATATCTTTAGCATGAGCAGTAAATTCAAGTGCCAAAACAATAGTTAGAAAAGCTTTAAACACATTTACCCTTCAGGAGTCCTAGTTTCAGAGTAAGTGATAATTACCTTCTTTTCATGAGGTTCCCTGATAACAGCTGGTCTCCACTGGTCTTTTGGAGTCTTGCCTTTCTTCTCAAGATTCTTAGGCTTGTTCTTAAAAGGCAGTGCCTTCTGCAGTGCTTTAGGAATGTGGAGCTTATTGAAATGTCTCTTCTCCCTCACAATAGGCTAAAAGAATAAATACAGAACATATATAAGACTCATAACATTAAAAAGCTTTTATTTAGTTTTTCATCTTTCAGAGGAAAAAAAACCCCACAAAATTCCACAAACCAAAAAAGAAAGAAACACACATCCCTCAAAAAAAACCCAGTTCAAACAAACCACAAAAAACAAACTAAAAGTACATCCTCTGACATCCTTGGACTGAACCGTAAATGGTAAATTGTTCACCCCAATTACTACAGAAGCCTCAGTAAGCTTCTGGAGAAGACTTCTACCCTGCAGATTATTTTATAAACTTTAACTGACCCACAACAATTTGCTTTCAGCTGTCTATTTCCATCTCATGCCAGGACTGTAAATTTGAAGTCACACATGCATGTGTATGAACATGTATTTATACTGCTCCTGGTTTGCAAAGGTCTGTGACACACTGCAAATCTGACTGGTTTTAAAAAACAAACCAAAATTAAACAGAAATATACCTTATAGAGAGAATCCTTGTTTTGTTTCAGTTTGATGCCTCTCTCATACCTCAGCTGGCCTGTTGTCTTCATCCCACTCCAACTATCTTTCTCACCTGCTGGTTTCAGCAAGGATGTTACCGGGTTATAAAACGTTGGGATAGAAACAGGATACCACGTCCTCACAAAAACAATATCTGAAAGAAAAAAGACTGTTACTTGGCTCTAAAAATGTAAAGAGTCCATCACATCCACACTCTAAGCAAAGATTGCCTGAACAGAACAGATACTACACCACATGCTAGCTTTGTGCTTGGTACATAGATCAAATGTCTTCAACTTTGGTGGTAAAAGCAGTGCAAAACCCCATAAATGTATGAACAGCACACATTCCTGAAGAGCAGGCAGCTAAATACCACCCTTTTTATCATTCATTTTCAAGAACAAGCAACAGAATTCATATATGTTGATGGGTCTGTACTATTACTGACAAAACCAATTTTCCTTTGCCTATTTTTATAAAAGAACAAACTTGCTTTTATTTTGCACTATCCATGATTTTGGTGTGTTTAGGAAAACAAATAATATAAACCTAAGTAAGTATAAACTCATATAAAAAAACATAGGAAACTCATATAACTCACAGAAAAAAGTTAACTGGAGTTACAATGCCAGTCCTTGGATTTCTCAGAAAAGCACTTTCTAGCACTTGTACCACTAAATTCAATGTTCAAGGAGAAAGGCTGTGTAAAACACTAAAACCATGCTGTGTAAAGCATTAAAATACTTGAAGATACATGTCTTCAACTCAAGCCTTTTCATCTGCATACTATGTGATTTCTGAGAATAAGTGAAAGAAATCCAACATTAAATATACTTCTTTTTAATTTCACTGTGCATCTCACAGGGTATTTCTTACTCTATGAATTCACATCTCAATTATCAGATCCCAGAATTCTGAGACACGGCTTTGCAATCTGTGAAGAAGGATGAAAGTTGTGTGATAACTTCCATGCAATGTGCAACTTACCACTCATCAGCAACTTGTCTTCAAATGTTGCTCTGAAAGCACCCACAGGAGCTCGGAGGGCCTTTTTGATCTGTCCTCGGATACCACTCACACTACGGATCGCTGCACCTTCAAATTTAGCCACTTCCAACTGGGAGTTAAACATTCCCTGAAAATGTGAATTAGCCACCATCATTCAAGATGCCAGGTCTCTCCCTGTGGCCTATGGAGGCCACAAAAACAGAGCTCCCACGAGCATTATCTTATAAAGAAACAGAAGGAGACGCAGCCTTGTCTTTAGACTAAGAGTGCTGATCATACAAAAAACCCACTGAGCTTATTTTTAAAAGTGAGCTATTGAAAGCAATCACAGGCAAGGTTTCTAAGCATTAAATATATAAAATTTATATAAATTTATATTTATACATATATTTAAAATTTAAAACAGAACATATCTACAAAAGCTTTACAGTTCTCCTTTGAAATAATTTGCTGGAACACAGGATATCTTAAAAGCAAGCAAGCTGCCTTAAATTGCTAGTTCTGAGATTCTCATACTATACAATTCTTGGAAGTTTGGGCTTCTTCCATATATCACAAGAAAAGCAAGAAAAAAAAAAAATCTATCTATGCCTAGTGCAAATACTTGAGTGCTTCATTGCTGGGATCACTGCTTAGCTGCTTGCTGCCTCAAATGCAGAATAACCTAAGCTCTCCCTGAGCCTGAAAGCCCAGCTAAGCACAGTGGGAAGGTCAGTGGCCATTCACTTCTGCAACACTTCCTACCCCAAACACTTCTGTAACTGTAACTGAGAAGTCTTAAACACTGCTAGAAGTCTCCTTCAACTCCAGAGCTTAAATTTAGTGGGATCAGGCAGACACCTACCAGGCACAATCTGAATCCTCCAAAGATGTCTGCCACTGCTAATCAGTGGGTTTTAGGAAGGAAGCAGGGGGCAGGAAGGAAAAAATTCACACTGAATGTAAACCAGGAGACTGTTCCAGAATTTTTGTCTGGTTAACAATAATTCATATTCCTTGGTAGTAATCAGTACCTTTAGAGATCACATGGAAGGGAGCTCAAAAAACCACAAGTAGTTCCTGAGATCCAGAACAGCATTCAACAATAACTGAAAATTCAACAAGAGAACTTCTGCCTCAGGAAAGACAATCCCAGGTTGCATTCCTTCCTAACATCAGTACATCTGGTTTTACAGTATACATACCTATGAACTTACCTTAATAAAACAAGTGTTCTTAAAAATTTTGAATGGATAACCAGTTAGCTTTAATTTCTTTACAATAGTTATGGATTTATCTAAGTCGAGCACAACACCCGTCGCAGCAATCCGGAAGTCAGGCTGGAACATCAGAGGTGAAAGATATTGCTGAATGTGTGTTTCTCAAACAGTGAAGACATCACTGAGAATCACAGAATCATAAAATAGTTTGGCTTGGAAGGTCATCTAGATGACTTCTAAAGGTCATCTAGTCCCACCCCTCTGAAGTGAGCAGAGACATCATCCTATAGATCAGGTTGCTCAGAGCCCCACCCAGTCCAACTCTAAATATTTCCAGGGACAAGGCATCCACAAACTCTCTCCTCATCTTGTTCATGTTTTACTACTCTTGTAAAAAATTTCTTCCTCATATCTAGTCTAAATCAACCCTTTTAACTCAAAACCATTCCTCCTTGTCCTATCACAGCAGGCCCTGCTAAGTTTATTCCCATTTTTCTTTTAAACCCCCATTATGTACTAAAAGGCTGCAATGAGGTCTCCCCAGAGCTTTCTCTTCTCCATGATGAACAACCCCAACTCTCTCACCCTTTCCTCCTAGGAGAGGAGCTCCATCCCTCCAATCATCTTTGTGACTGTCCTCTGGAGCTGCTCCAACAGGTGTCTGTCTTTGCTGTGCTGAGGGCCCCAAGGCTGGAGGTGGTACTCCAGCTGGAGTCTCACTCGAGCAGAGCAGAGGGGCAGAATCCCCTCCCTCGCTCCACTGCTGGCACTGCTCTCGCTGCAGCCCAGGATGTGATCTGCTCTCTGGGCTGCAAGTTCACATGACCACAGCATGCCCAGCCTCTCATCCACCAGAATCCCCAAATCCTTCTCAGCAGGGGCTGCTCTCAACCCCTTCACTGCACAATCTGTACTGATACTGGGGGTTCCCCAGGTCTGGTGCAGGACCTTGCCCTTGGCCTTGTTGAACCTTATGGGGCTCTTCCAGGATCACTTCTCAAGGCTCCCCTGGACAGCATTCCATTCCCCAGGCACGTTAACCACACCACTCAGCTTGGTGGTGCCTGCAAACTGCCCATGTCACTGATGGTTAGTGCTGATCCCTGAGGGGGACAGACCCCTGAGGGACACCACTGCCACCACTGCACATCAGGACACAGAGCTGTTGACCACTACCCTGCAGATGTGGCCATTCAACTCACTCCTCATTCACTAAACAGTTCACCCTTGAATGAATGTCTCTCCAACTTAGAGAGGATGTTGTGGGGCACCTGCACTCCACATTTCACTTTTAAGATTCAGTATTTCTGACCTTTACAGAAGTGCTGCAGCATAAAAAATGCAGATTGACTAGTACAGACTAGTTGAGGTGCTGCTGACATAACATTCCTACCATTCACTAATGAGATTTCCAGAGCTGCCATTCTAATTACCTTGGAAACAATCTGAAAGTCCTTGTGATCTACCTCACTATGTTCTCTTTATGAAACAGAATCTTCTCAGACAGGAAGTCTCAAAGGAGAAGTGCTTTGTGCACTGCTCTAAGACACTGTATTATGCAAAACTGTGCAATAGCACTTGAAGGCATATTTTAGAAAGGAGATACAAGAAGGAATCACCACTCTGATTACTGTCAAGCTCATTACAATGCTATGCAAAGTGTTTGTTACCAATTGTCTGCAAACATGAACCTACCTTTGATTAATATATTTCTAATAAAGATCATATCTGATAAACAGCGCTTTAACACTATTTAAATTGGAATTATGGAATGGTTTGGTTTTGAAGGGACCTCAAAGATCATCTCATTTCAACACCTCTGCCATGGGCACCTTCCACTAGACCAGGCTGCTCACAGCCCCATGCAACCTGGCCCTGAATCCTTCCCAAGATGGGACATCCACATCTTCTCTGGGCAACCTATGCCAGAGCCCCACCACCCTCACAGTAAACAACTTCTTCCTGAAATTTGTTTTTTTTAAAAAAAAAATCCTCTCCATAGTTTCCTACCTCAACATAATACACCTTTCAAAACCTTGACTCCAGCTACTTTCTTAGTTCCTACAATTACACTGCTTTATCATAATGTAAACCTTCTTCCCAAAATATATATATTTTGCCCAAACATCCATAGAAAGCATTAATGAACATTCTGTGGTAACAAACCTACCGTTGTGCCACTGACAGACTGAACTGCCAAAAATCCTGTCCCCTGAGGAGTGATGGGCCCTAAAAAAAAATTAAACACTTATGTAAAGTTTTACTACACAATATCTACCCCCTATTTAAATTCCAAAAGCTTAAAAATACATGACAAATATACTCAGTGAAGAAAACCAAAGTTTAAAGCGCTCAAACTGTTGCTCACATTTAAAGCCCCATAAAGGAATGGTTAACATGAAGTTACTCATGCAACATCCGGGCCCATAATGAGTGCAAAGTATATCTGCACACAAATCAGGTTCCTTTGATATGCAACAACTGAGCAGAATGCTCAGAATTTGATGAAAAGCCAAGCAATTCCCAAATCATTTAAATAACTGCCTATTTTCCCATACTATTTGGTGCTATTTTTTCTTCCGTGGGGAAATTTCAAGACTTCTCATTCCAAAAGCTGCATTTCCTGCAAAGCTTGAGACTTTCAGAGTGCTGAAGTGAGCCAGGAGAGCAGCCCCAGCAGGGCTCACCCCAGAAGGCCGCCCCGCAGTGCATGTGCTGCGGGGTGTACTTGAGCAGCCGGTGCCGCCCGTTGTGGTCCTCGATGTAGAACATGGGGATGGTCTGGAAGCGCCTCCAGCCCAACGACAGGATCAAGGGATCGCGGGTCTTAAGGATCTTCTTATACCACCGGTGCTTCTTCAGGCGCAGCTGATCGGGAGAGAAGGTCAACATGCTACTACAGGATGGCAACAGTGATTCTGAAATTCAAGCCTTAACTTGTCAGGAATGAAATGCAACTTCTGTCTACGCTACAATTTTTTATACACTAAGTTTTCTCTTCAAATATTCTCGCTAACATTAGGTTAACTGGGAAGATCAATCAGTATTTCGCTCACTCTGAAGTCATGAGTGTATGCAAGATTCAAGCAAGTATCACATTAAAAATACATTTATATACGTGCTAGAAACTTTTCTGTAGTCACTTGTATATAGATCATGAAGGTCAGAGTACAATTAGTGTTTGCAGTTTAGCAATCACAGTATCAGACCTTAGTCCTGAGACACCTCTGCAGCTGAACATTAAACAACAGTAACCTTTTCTGGTTATCCAATTAAGCCCTTAAAGATCCAGAATCTGCTACTGTAGAATTACACTTTGTGTCAAAAGCAAATCCCCCATTCAGAAGACAAGGATGGAAGTTTCTCTTTGTGTTTACTGTATTTTAGAACACAGAGAACAGTAACTCCAGGCTCCCTGAAGCACACCTGTACCCAGATAAAATGCACTCAGCCCTTTGGTTACATACCTGTACATAGCCAACATTTCCTTCGCTGTTGCCTAGACCACCCAGGATGATAGGGTAATGAGGATCAAAATTCATGACAAATTCACATGGCACATTCTCAATCTCTATTCGAACATACATCCCAGGCCTGAATCCCTCATACTGCACTCTGGTCTCATCATCTTGATCTTCAAATTCTGCTCGATTAAGCTGTGTGACAAAGAGAAAGCCATTGTGTGTTTCACAAAATCCAGGTATTAACAACTTGTTCCTGAAGGGCCGATTATTTTTAAAACATGCTACCATTTATATAAATCATTTTGGGAAAGATCTAACAGGTTTTGTGACTTTTTATTCAGAGATCTCTACCACCACAAAGCCCTTCCAACTTGAGATCCCAAATGGCCCTGTTAATCTACCTGAAAGACGGTACCCAAGAAAAGCAAATTACTGAGTGACTTCTTATACACCTTCCACTATGGTGACTTTGCATTTCAAAGATACAACTATCAAAAGTACATTTATTGATTTAGGAGCTCAAGTATCTTTTAAAGTTAATGTCCTGATCTTTAAGGTGTCAGTTTATGAGGATGCTGCACTCCTATCTTACCCAGCAGCTTAAAAATATCTTTGTGCATCCTCACACTGTACATCATCAAAAGCTTTTCTGTACCATATGATAAGAATATAGATACTGTGCAAATATTTAAGAAGATACCCTCGTGAATAATAGAACCCTCACCCTCCTGTTCTAGCTCCTGATGCTTACCTATCCATAAGACACTGATTCTTTTACTGGAATGTCCTTCTTTACCCTTTAAGTGCTCTCAGTACATCAGCATACCAGAGCTCACATTATCCTTTGTGACAGAGGCTAATCCATACCTGCTTGTATTAATTTAACAACTATTCAGGGCAAAATTTTGTCAGAAGACAAGACAGTGAAGTTTTTAAAAATGTAAGGCAGTATTCTCCCAAGTCAGGCAAAGAAGGAAGCTTACAAGTTCTTATGCAAAAAACCAAAGGCCTAGAACAAAATCAACACCTCACATTCTGGATACAGTTATGCTGAAGACTTCTACCACATGTACCGAGCAACAGTCATTAATTATTTTTTCCTCAAAATAACTTCACAGTTGGATGAAAAAGACTGTCACAGAGAATTTACTTAACCATTAATAACACTGCAAAATATCACACTAAAAATAATACAGGGAAAATATATGGCACAAATTAATATGAGAAAGATTTTCACCTTCCTATACATAAAAGGATGCCTTTTTTTATTTAAAAAGTTTTTAAGTAGTTAAAGTTTAGATTATACATCCTGGCTTATTCAGTGATACTGCACTCATTTTAAATTAAGCTTTCAAAAGTTCAAACATAAAAAAAAAATCATAAGCTTGTATTTCTTCGTGTGTACTTTCTGGAATACCTCCTTAGCATCACCTGTGTCTCCAGGAAAAAACCTTTTTGGGGGCAAGCTCTGGGGAGTATTTTTCAAGACATATATCCAGACAAATTGTCAAATTAGCAGATTGTACCTGTGCTTGTTTATGCATTTCTTCTTTAAGATCATCAAAGTATGTGGCGTCCCCCTCATCATATTCTGCATCAAACATTTCTTTAAGTTTTCTTTTCTTGTCCATGCGCTCCTTTTTCTTTTTCTCCTCCTCAGGTTCTGGTTTGGTCGTTTCTTCATCTTCCTCCTCCTCCTCTTCACTTCCAGACTAATCAACAATAAGTAGTCAAACATATAAAATGGCTCACTGAGAACAACCCATTCTGATCAACAGATATTTGATAGATATTATTAAACAGTATTTTTATAGATATGATTAAACAATACTTTTTTATTGTGCCAATTATTAGACAATTGAAAATTGAAAAACATTTCAATTGGAGACAGAAATTAAGCTATTCATACAAGGAGATAACTTCAGCAAGGACCAAAGGATCTCAGGATCTATTCATATTCCTTTTCACTGACAAAGCTTTTTTTACTGAAAATAACTTTCACATCAGGGAACAGATCCTAGAACTGACCTACCTGTTATTCTATAGCTAATATAAGCATATATAATACAGGAGGAAAAAAAAAGTAATTGCTGATAGCATTGAGCCATACCATGTAGAAGGCAGCACTCTAGAGACCAGAGAGGAGGAAGTTTGTTCACAGGCCATTTGAAAACTGCCAAAATTATGCCATTACCCATGATTTATAATGAAATGCAAAGCCATCAAATTGCTCAGACCAAAAACAAATTGATTTTTTTCAGTTTGTACTGTCACAGACAACTAGAGTTCTGTTATAGGAAGATATCCAAGCCACAGCATAAAATTGCTTCCATCAACCTCCTTTATGCAGATAAGAGGAATGAACTAGGAAACTGTGTCAAGTTTCCATAATTTGTTGTGTTTAAACAGAGTGCTATAATCTTCTGCATCAGATGAGATGACATAGTACAAACAGTTATGATTACATTTGGTTTTAAAATACTTCTGCCATGCCTCCAGATCCTCCAGCTCTTGATTAAGCCTGACACCTACTGTTAAATAAGTGAGGTGACTTCTATGTAATTAACTATAAACAAAAATTCAGACTCAGGCTAAAAACATGCCACTCTAGATAAAGCCAGTAATACACATACCTTTTCTTTCTTGTTCCCACTGATTTCCTTCCTATTGATTCTATGAACACTGAATTTATTACAGAGGATGCCTATCACTTGATAAGAAACTCACGCTTATGTTGCTAAAGAAGATAAAAATGCAGATCAGACCTGCTCTCCTCCAGCAGCAGCCTTTCCTTTGTGCACAACACCAGTTTCCAGATCTTCAAAATCTCCATACAGCTCTTCTGCAACAACAAACACCCAAGACATATGAGCATTAGTTAACCATTCTGCTGTATTGCTCCACACCATCTCTCATTTGTTCACTACTGTGCATTTCTCAGTACGGCCGTGGAGATTAGTTTCAGTCCAAAATATTTTTGACTCCCATCAAGTTTTATATGTTTGTTCTTCCCTCTCTATGGCTTGAGCTGAAAATTCCCAGCTAAACTCAACGTGGCTCCTCCTTTATCCTTTCAACACCCTTATGATTTAAAAAATGTGAATAAAGTTTATATCATTCCAAAGGACTCCAAATACATTAGTATGCACTCTAATGACACAAGATACCAGCAGAGCAATTGAGCTCCTATGCTTAATTAAAAAATAGTTGACAGTTTTTAAGTTAAACACATGTGCTTATAGAAGCCTGTTAAACCACAATCATGATGCATGTAAGATACAGCCCCATTATTAAAACTTTTAAAGTATTTCCTAATTTAAAACAAAACAAAAACACCACCTCCAAAACATCTGAAGATAGATCTCACTCTTCAGCCAAACATGAATGTCAAGTTTGTCTTCCCAATAAAGAATAATTCCTGTTTATTTCTACCATGACTATCCAGAAGATTAAACCATATATGATGTATAATGAACTCAGATACATAATTCAAAGCTGGCATGTCCAAGTGTTGAGACTAACAACTCTACTTCATAATTTAAATTACATACTCTATTTTTTGGAAAGTAAATTTCCAGAATGTCTATGTGCCTACTGTTTCTACAGAGATTTACAGCAATGTGTAATTATGACAGTATCTTTATAGTTTAATGTATATAATAGTTTGAAAAAACCTGCAAGTATAGCACTAAGGCAAAATATTCATATTTTACATATTATAAAATATTACATAACTAAAAAGTCATACTTTTCTTAAAAATCCTGTATACATGAATAATTTTTAGAAGTGTTACATCTTTATCATCCTCCCACTTTCCAGTAACAAAGCAGTCTCGAATACTGTTCATAACCTGCAAAATAAGTGTCATTGCCTTGCACAGCTGCAGCTTAGCATCAACAGAACATTCCCCAAGACATTGCCCACTCCCCCATCAGAGACAATTCTCACATGCAGCTCCACATCAAGACACCATTACCAAAACTACACAGTGCCTTCCCAAAAGCAGGATTGTGAACCCAGTTCAATTCTTGCCCAAAGGTCCCAAAAGGTACCAAAATCTCTACCCAACACTGTATTTTCACTGAGGTCTCCCGTGCTTTTTACTTTTTGATAAATAAAGAACAAACTATTATCCACCAAATAGTCAAGTGAGCCAAGCATTAAATTGATTTACTGTAACTTGCCACTCTTGTAAGAACAAAGAGTTCTGGAATCTGTTACTTATAGTGACAACAAGGGGCAGAATCTAAGACACTGTGTCCACAGCTCCCACAGGTCTGTTTCAATGACAACTCAGTCACTCTTTATGAGACACAGCCAGGACAGAACCAGGCAGGATATGCAGAAGCAATTATCCAATGGCATCACCTCTTCTAAATCCCAATCTTGTGGCTTTTCCACCAGAAATTTGGAGCAGTCAAGAGCATTGGCCTTCTGCTTGGATGCTGTGTCTGGACGGCTGACACGGAACAAGCCTCCAAGTTCATCATCTGCATCCTCGCTCTCCTGGTCCTCATCCTCGACAGCTAAACCAAACACAGAGGCTGTGATGATTTCCCCCACAGTACATGCATGAAATTCATTAACCACCTTTCTCCTTATGTTCCCCAACAGCTGCAGCAGTTTGAGGAAATAAAAGAAACAACCTGGAACAGTTTCAAATGTAAAAGCCTGAAAAAAAAAGGTATACTGATCCAGTTGTTTTCATAACTGGAACAATATTAAAAAAAAAATATTGCCCAGTAAGTAAACAGAGGATGCTGGTTCAATATCACAAACTGGAACAATACCAAAATGATCTGTGAACAGGAAGGACATTAAGCTTGCCTATAAATCAAGAATACCAGACCAGAGAATCTGTCAGAAAGTCTTCCCACACCTGCACTGTGGAAGGTTTACAAAAGCCAAATTCTCACCATCTTCTACAAAGGTTCTGCACAATGAGATTTGTACACTCAGACAGTCACTGGAAAAGTTGTGAATTAAGCAAGACAAAATATATAAATAGCAATTTTCTCTTCCTTTTAATCCAGATATTTTTTCCTTGACAAACACCTGATACTAAGTCATGTATAAGAGACCCTTCCACAGTCACTGTGAGACAGAAATTCCTGAAATCAGCCAACAGACTACATACCTTTATGAAACACAATTACCACAATGGGTTTGCATAATATCTATCAGATGATTACACAAATGATCAAACCTCAAATGTTTGGAAGAAATAACTGTACCAGAAAACATGAGTAGTCTGGAAAATAAACTCAAAATGCTTTTATGGGAAAGGTAAAAACTGTCTTGTTATTACAATTATTAGTGAAAGTGAGCAATTAAAAAATTAATTAACTCTCCTCAAGCTTCCCATCAAATGACAGTGCTCAAATATTCATACTTGAAAACTTGGCAACAGCTAAAAGCCACCATACATTGAGACAAGTTTCCAAACTGATGTGTACCTGTTCCATATACAAGTTTACGAAGATTGGGGGTTGATCGTTGCTGTCTTAGAAAGGCCTCAGCTGCCTTCTGTGTGAGGTCCTCTTTCCATTTAAGTGCACCTGAAACGGGAAAAAATTCACATTCTGTCTTCAAAAAAGAACAAGGATCAGAAATTACAAAAATGATTTAAATAAGGACATGACAGGAGGCTTAAGAAGTGTAGACACTAGTCACGGTTTCTTTTTCTCATAATCCATATAGACACAGAAACAAACTGTGGATAACAAATTATACCACTGATTTTTTAATATATTTTTTAGGACAGAATTTTAAAAACTTATTAACAACAGTAACAGATTCGATCATGTTCGTGATGATACATGTCTTCTTCACAGACTCACAGAGTGGTTGTGGCTAGGAGGGACTTCTGGAGGTCTCAGGGACCAGCCCCACTGCTCAAGCAGCCACACCTAAGGCAGGTTGCTCAGCACCAAGTCAGGATGGTTTTTGAACGTCTCCAAAGATGGAGATACCTGTTCCAGTGCTCTGTGAGCAGTTAATGCATTTTAGTAACAGTCCCCCCAACACTTTTTAGTCTTTCTAGATGTAATAGAGCATCATAATTCGTTTTATACACATAGCTATAAAGATTAAAGTATATGCAAAATCAATGAAGTTTTGTTTATAAAATGAATCACCTCTCTTTTAGAGGAAGGAAACCTGATATTGCAATTATTATTTCAATGTAAATGAAAGGCTTCAGAGCAAGTATTTCAAGCTTTACTAACTTGAAGTTTTGCTACTTAAGAATTATATATAAATACATATATATTAAAACATATATATATATATTTATGACAAGCAACATTACGGGGTATTTACTAATATACCCTTTAACAATTAATACAGTTAAAGTGGACAGTAAAAATTAAACAGTTATAGTCTACCTGTTGTGTCAACAGAAAGATCTATTTCTTCTTCATACTCCTCTTTCTCTCTCAGCAGATTCTCCACATCATCATCCTCAGTATCTACAGTTTTAACTTTAGTCTGTCTAACACTATCAGCTTTCTTTGCTTGACTGTGCTGAAATCCATTCCTATTTGACTCTTCAGCTTCTAATTCCTCATGTGATCCTCCTTCATCATCACCCTCTTCAAGAGAAGAGTTCTCATCCTCAGATTCTGATGCCTCTTCTGCGGTGCAGTTTCCAGAATCTGTAGTGAGCACTGCTTTTCTTTTGGGACTGTGCTCTGAGATTTGTGATTTCACTTCTGTACGTTCACTATTCATATCATACTGCTTAGATTCAGCTCTTTTATTTGGAGCTTCAAATTCACTATCTGAGCTTTCATCTTTGCAAGTCCTTTGTACATCCCCCTCCTCCTCTTCCTCCTCCTCCTCATCTTCCTCCATCTCACTGTCTTCAGGGGCAGTTTCTCCTTCTTCAGAGCTCATCTCCAGATCATCATCGCTGTCTGCAAATGCTGGTAGCTCATTCACAGCTTCTTCCTGAGCCACCTCTGTTTTCAGGCGCTTGGCTCTCCTAACAGCTATCCCTTCTCGTAGGAGCACTCTCTCACTTTCTTCCTCAGCATCATTTTCATCATCACCCTCACTTCCATCCTCAGACACTGCTTCTTCATCATCTTCTTCTTCTTGGTCATCTTCCTCATCACTTGCTTCGTTTTCCTTCTCATCATCTTCAAACACGGCCTTCCGACGAACTCTTCCAGTCTTCAAGTCCACCTGCCTCTCTTCTTTTGGCATCACAAACCTGTTTTCCCAAAGACCACATTTGGGGTAAGACAGTAAAGTACAAGAAAATGTTAATGAAAGAATGAAGCTTCATGTCAGTATTTTTAAACAGTTCTACAAATTCTCTTTCAAACAAAGTGAAGTTATGTAGACCATTAGAAAGGCACTGGCATTCTTTAATGTCTCTTTATTCAAGAATATTGAATGTTATAGCCAAAAATAATTCCAAGAAATTTCTTCATTGTCCATGGAATGAGTTAAAACAGAAATGTTATTTGTATCAGCAAGAAATTCTTGGAAGGCAGGACTAAACTGCTTGCAACTTTCTAGTACCAATTATTTCTATCCCAAAATACAGTGTGGCATATGAGTAATCTCAGAACAGGAGAATCAGACAATATGTCATTTTACTAGCTATGCTCTGTTGAGAATTTTTCCTAAATTTGAGCCTGAAACTAGAGATTCACTCATGCTCAAACACTGCCCAGCATTCAAAACTTACTCTTGTCCCACATCTTCTGAGCCCAAGGGTTTAGAGTCCATGAAGAGAGAGACCTTGCTTGATGCCATCTTAACATCAATGGCTGAGTGTGTGGAGATGAGGCTCTGAACAAGTTCATGATTTGGCCTCACTTCCTCCTGGAAAGACAAAGTTAAAATTCAATTCAATTAAATAAACAAATGTCTATTGACAGCCATCAGTCTAAACCAGCAGAAACAAATTTTTTCTTGCATATGCAAGAAAAAATTGCAGAGCATTTTGAAGAAATATTTTCTCAGAATAGAATAGCAAGGTCTCCCTTCCCCTCTTCACATTTCAAGAATATCTATAATATCAACACAAGAAAAATTAAAGAGGGACTCCTTCACAATATGCAATCGCTACAGTAAATACCAGCAAACATATCACAGACCCAAAGGTATTTAACATTTAGCACAATACAGCAGAAAAAAACTGAAATAAATTTGTTTGTAGACAAATCTTTTTCTTTTTTTTTCTCCCTTTGACCAGTCAAATCCTTAAAGTCCTCTCCCAACAATCACCATGCCCTGCAAAATTATAGTGATAATAGTCCAGCACCAGGAGATTTCATAAATCTTAGGTCAATATTTGGGAAGTTATTACACAAAGTTTAGGTACCAATATTAACTGATCTTCCAATGTTTTGTACAATAACTTCTCTAAAATCCCTGAAGGAGAAAAGAACTAATTAACCAGTATGGATAGATAAGGATTGATTATTTTAAAGAACCATATTTTTAAACACTTATTTTGGCTTTAAGGATAAAAACTGACAAGCTTCTCTTTCTCATTTAAGGAGCGCTTCTTCTGCTGCTCAGGGAGAGCACAGGGGTCTGGCAGGAAACTCACATCACTTACAGTGAAATCTCCTACACCTGAGGGGACACACAAAGGGCATTAACAAAGTTTGCCGAACATTTTGATTCTGAAATTTGTGCAATTCACCATGAAGAGATTCAAAACCCACGCTCCCCCCCAAAAAAAAAGGAAAAACAAACAAACAAACCAAACCCAGACATTGTGGCATTCAGTGATTCAGCAATAAGTTTTGTACCAAACATCCAATTCCTCTGCCTTACCACTGAACTTAGAGAAGTATACATAAATTCACCAGAATCCTGCAAAGCTTTGTTTCTTTCCTTGTTTTCAAATGACAAAAACAGCAACACACTTTTCTGAGTACATCTGTAAATTTATTATTACAGTATTTCTTTATTTAAACTTTTTAATCATTCAATTGAAATATTAAGTTATTAAATTCTGATAATAAGAAATATATTACATAATTTACTAATTTACATCATTCAAATTTGCTTTTCATTATTAAGGCTGGTACGTTTTACATTTTAAGCACCTTTTAAAGTGATAAACCTTTGGAAAAAAATAAATACTGTGAACAATGTGTTTATCAGTGCAACAAAACTGCACAATTAAAGGCAAAACTAATTACAAGATTTATTTTCACAGAAGTGTGCATTATGAAAAAAAATTTCAAAAACATAACAGGTATTTAGAAAGGTGAAAAATCTGTTGTATAACAAACTTTAAAGATAGAAATAATTTCAGCTATGTTGTTTTTCACAGATCAGTACAGAAAGAGTTCTAAGACTCTGAAAAATTACCTGGCATATGAATTTGACTTTTGTTTTTTAGGTGTGCTCCTCTCAGGTATCCATACAATGATATCTTCCTGTCACATTTGGGATTGATTCGAACATCCTCTGGGTTTGTCAGCTCTTCCATTCTATTCAACATTTAAAATGATAGTTAAAATATCCAGAGTCCCAAAGGTAACTTTTGAGAAAAAGAGAACATCACTGCTGCCACTACATGATCTGCAAACTCTAATAATCAAAACTGAATTATCATAAGAAAGAAAAAAATCATCGATAAAAACGGTCTTCTAAAAGCATTTTAAAATCATATTTTAAAAGTTGTATAATTATGTTCAACAAATTTCCAGAAGGTTTACTGACACTTCACTGAACAGGTACCGCTTTCTTAGCACATTTTAACTACTCTTTATGGGCTTTGCACACACAATCCTCCTCTAATCAATTTCACCATTAGAGGGTTCACATTCCCTGCAACCACACAACACCTTCTATTCCTTAAGAATGGTGGTGAGCATCACAAAAGCTACCACAGAAAAAAGAGTGTCTGTTTGCAGGCAGAGGAGAGGGAAACTCCTTTCTACTCTGCAAGTGGGAGGCAGCACACAGAGGCAAGGAAGAGAACAGGGGGCACAACCCTGCTGCAGATCCGCTTAGAGATGACCCACAATCATGAAACTGCAACAGTTACAGCAGCCTAAAACTATGTTACTGAAAAACTACAGAATGTGGGATTTGCATTTTCCCTCTCTTTGCTTCATGTATTTTGCAGGGCTTTGCACAATGCTTCTACTTGTCTGACAATTTTTCCTGACGACTTAAAAGCTAAAGAAGAGGCTCATTCAAGGCACTTTGGATTATTTGGTTATAACTGCAAGCATTCTGGCAGTAAAATATGAAATGTGAGGTAATTTTGCAAGCAGGCACAGTTGCCATCAAGATTACTTTTATGTTCTAAAGAGACTGTGAATTAAATGTTACAGGGAGACAGAGCAGAAGGGATATTCCTAGGACTAATTCACCAGCTGATGTTTAATCACTAGAACGCTGTTTCTTTTTCCCAGAAACTCAGTATAATCATAAACAAACAAGATTATTTTAACCATCCTGTGTTTCAAAAGAGTTTACAATAGACTGGATGTGCGTACATGACCTGACACAGGTGAAAACTGCACAGCACAAACCTGCAGAATTTGGTGCTCCCAAAGCTGCTCAGGGAACACCAAACACCCACTCACACAAAGAGCTGAGGGCTAATAGCACAGCTTTTTCAAACAACAAGGTGCAATCTATGCTGAGAATGAAGAACAGAGAGAAAAACACACACCTGTCTGCAAGAACATACGGATGAGACGTTTGCCAAGTGAGAGGCCGGAATTTCATAACAGAGATAAAACGCCCCAAATTATGAACTTCCTGCTTTTGATATTCTCCATGAACCATCCCCGACAAATAAAACAACTTGGCACCCTAAACACATTAAAAAGACATAAAACATAAAAAAGTCAAGTTAGTAATGCAATTCTAATTTGTAAATTTTAATTGAAAATTTCACATTACAATTGGTTCTGAAAGATCAAACTAACCAGTCTACTTCAACATGAAAATTGTCCCCTAAATCTTGATGGAAAACTATTCACATCCTCAAGACCTCATACAGACCTACAAGCAGATCCTCTTTGCACAGCACAGACCTAGTAGCAAATTCAGCAGTTTATCACACTGGGATAGAGAATAATCACACAAGTATTTTAACAAATAGAAAAAAGATGAAACAACCTGATACAGTTTCAACATTGTTCAGTTACCTATTTAAAAGATGTAAGAACATAAGAAATACTTAAGTATTGACCCACTGTTAATTTAGCTTCCACAAAGCAAAATATATGAAAAAATTAATGTTAAATGTCATACCGGATACACTTCAGTCCAGAATCTGTGCTTTAACTTCTTTTTAGTCTTCTTTAGTTGTTTGTTGTTCTTGAATGTGTCCAAGTGTGTTAGAACTCCCATAATTTTGGGAAAGCCATGTACCTGGCAAATGTTCAGGAATTCAAATGTCTCCATCTCAAATCCAAAGCTGGCATCAATGAGCATTAGAACCTGTAAACACAATAATCACATTTCACTACAGCAATACCACAGTGCCCACATGAGCTAATTTCAAAGACCACACCTTTAAACTCTTAAACTTCTCAAGAACCAAAATTTTGCAAAAGGTTCTGCACTTTATTTTCATATACTCTGAAAACAAACTTTGGCTTTTTATTTGACGTATGGAACTTGCTGCTAAAGATGTTCTAGACACTCTAGGAATGCAACAACATTCAGTATTATATTAAGATCTGAACAAGTGTTTACCTGGTGAATTTAAAACATGCAACATTTATTATCTTTCAGGAACATCTTAGAAAAAATTAACAAAGCTCTTATATCTGTGTCTTGGGTACACTAATGCTGCTAAGGCCAAGTCTTTTGGTAAAATGAAACCAACTTCTTCCCTTGTTGCAATTGCTGTTACACATCACCAAAATGCACTGACACAGGGAAAAAGCAGCCAACAGTCCCATGGAAATGGAATCAAAGTTGGTTTAGGGTCTTAACAATAGAGAACTTCAAGCATACAGGAACTGACAACAGAGCTTCAAGCACTGATGTAACCTCAGCCCCCTAACAATAAATCCAAACAGATTCTCAGCACCACCATGTCTGCACACAGAATCTGAAACATCCACTAAATACACTAGCAGAAGTATTTGCGTTGTTTGGTACATCTAACTTACTCAGTAGAAAACATAAAAGAAGAAGAATATCTAGACCAGTGTACACATGTATTTAGACATCTATATAGTTAATACTTAGACAAGGATCCAAATACCTAACCAGCTGTGAATAATATACTCCAAATCCATATATAAAGTTCTAAACAAACTGATCATGCACTGGACCCCCCAGGATCAGTTGATGTAATCTCTTGATCCAAAAGTTGCAAGTAAATTGCAACAGTCACCACATTCCACTGAAATCAGTTCTATTACTACATGAGGTTCTTCACAGATGGAGACCTCAGAGTGCATAAAAAACCCAGCTAGTAAACTAATACATATTTCTACTTTGAATATTAGTTGAAAACTTCTTGACTAAAAATCATTTTCAGATTTTATATGGTTTGACCAAATCCCTTAATGAGAAGTCACTGTGTCATGCTGGCTTCTTATAACATCTTCCACTAAAAGTTTACCAGTTGCATTAGCAATGAAGTTTAGCAGCATTTCCCTTTTCTCACATCCTCCCCACCACCACCAGGCACACACACACACACTTTACTTTCCCCCACTCCCAAGATGAGGGAAGTCCCAAGGTTGTTCCAGAACATTAGGTGTGTCAAAGAGCTCGGGTCTTGCTCTCTTTGAAACCAAAGACAATTTTGCCTTTGACAGCAAAAAATGTGTAGAGAAACTAGACATAGGTGCAGTCCAACCAAAACTAGTCTTTTCAATGTAAATTGTAGTAGAAATCACATTCCATTGTTAACTTACCAAATCAGCAACTTTAGCCAGGTCAATCATTGTGTTAATGTCACATCCACATTCAATAATGGTCAGCCGGCGTTTTTTACCTGAAAACAGAATTGAGCATCAAAAACTGAAACAGAGGGGGCAAACCAATTTGTACAGTTTTCTTTTCAGAAATTTCTTTTCACATTCCTGAAGTTCCTCCAGGGTATCTGGGACTCAGATTCTGGTCTAGCATGTAAATAATCCAACATGCATCACTGTAGAAGTGTCTGTTTTTAACCTGCTTAAAATTCTGCTAAAATATAATTTTTAGATTTAAAATGATCAGATCTTCTTTTACTGCACGTATGCCAGATCACACATCCAAATGATTTCTTCAAAATGACCAAAAATTATGAAAACATGAACACATCCCATCTCTCAAAGCAAGACAAGTAAGGAGTGCAAAAGAAGCATTTTCACTTCTCCTTTGTTCTCACCTGAAACAATTGTAACAGGACCCCGGATTTCAACCAACTTTTGTCTTGTGAAGTTCTTAATGAGACACTTTATTACAGTGCTCTTCCCAACCTTGGGAGGGCCAACCACCACCACCACCACGGGAGGTGGCTCCAAAGGAGTCCGGTCAACCACAGGAATGTGATGCTTTTTAGTCTTCAGATCCTGAGTTCTAAGAAGAAATTTGTAGTAAATAAATACAGAAACGTCACAGATAGTGATATTTACTATTTAAAAGTGTTCAGTACTTGCAAAAGTTTGAACACAAAGGTTGAGCACAAGCACTTACACCAGGAACACCCACTGAGTCTAAGGAGCTACTCAGTTTTTCTGAGGATTAACACAGTGTACAATGTAACATCGACGCACACAGGACCCCACTTCTGACACACACATAAATTACAACGTGACTGGGTGAACGACGAGCGCTAGGCACTGGAAACACCAGTGAAAATTACGGGCTGTGTATTTCTACACAAAGTAACGAAGCGACTCCAGGCAAGTCCCACCCGAGCAGCAGCCTCTGCACACTGCAGAGCCAGTTCCCACTTCTCACCGATGGAAAGTCCTGGCCATCCGCACAGCGGACTGGACCGTAAAGGCTTTGGGGTTTCTCTTCCGTGCATTCTCCTCATCTCCTATTCCCAGGTCATTGAGATAACGTTTCCTTTTCTTCTCTGCCTTGGGCCCGCTATGCTTTGCACGATGCTTCTTCTTCTCTTTTTCCTCCATCTTACTCGCTCAACAGTTGTTTACAACCAGCAAGGATCTGAGCTCCTCCGTGTGACAGCGGCTGGCACAGAAGAGAGCACAGTTAGCACAGGGCACGCGTACCCAGCACACCGGCTGGAGAACGCCGTGCAAGCACCGCCAGACCCAACTCACGGCGCTCATTCACTCCCTNAATACAGCCACCACCAGCACTGCCACCAACACCGCCACCAATACAGCCACCACCAGCACTGCCACCAACACCGCCACCACCAATACAGCCACCACCAGCACTGCCACCAACACCGCCACCAATTCAGCCACCACCAGCACTGCCACCAACACCGCCACCAATACAGCCACCACCAGCACTGCCACCAACACCGCCACCACCAATACAGCCACCATCAAGACTGCCACCAACACCGCCACCAAGGCCCCCGGCTCCAGCCCTCCCGGCGCGGCTCACCGGCGGGTCCGGGGCTGGTGGCCAGGCTGGCGGAGGGGAGGCTGGCGAGTTCCATGCTGGCCGAGGTCTGCGGGCGGTGGAATGACACTAGCTGCTCCGTGCCTTAATAGCTCTCCACCCCGGCCCTTAGCGACCCCCACCCACTGGGCCCGGCCCCCGCCGGGGCTCCGAGGGTGACTCAGAGCCATCTCCCACACCTCCATTGTCATCCCATCACCAAAATACACATAATGAGGGCTCGTCCCATCCAAGGAGCCAAAGTGTCTCCCAGCGAAGTCCCCGCTGCTGCCACCAGCCCATCCACCTTTTTTTAATTCAAATGGAGAGCAAATAATTTAATGAAGGAATCTTCCACCTTTGGTTCAGCTCTCTGAGGGAGCTCTCCTTCTCTCTGCACTGCAGGCCTGGAGCTCTGCTGGAAACCTTGTGTTCCCCAAATTCAAGGAGGTTTCCATGCCACCCTTCTCCTAAAGGCAAACCATCCCAGTTCTTACTGCACCCAGGTGACAAGTCCTTGTTTTCCCCATTTGGTTACCCTGCTCCTGTTCCCATCCAAAAGACATTTCTCATCAGCTTTACTGCAGGAAATAAAATGCTTGTGTCTTTACTAGACATTGCATCAATACCCAATGTTCACAGTAAAGGACAAAACCTCCCCCAGCACACTCTGAGGTCACCCAGGTCAGATGGAGCAGTGTCTCTCCAGACTACATGCTGAAGAGCTCAGCAAAGTCTTCCTTTCCCAGGAAAGCTTTTTTTTTTTTTCTCTCTCCAGACAGCTCTGCTCATCCAAGTCAGGTACAGAACAAGCAAGGTCTGTGCCCAAAGTGAAATCATGATCAACATATTAATTCAAAAGAGTGGCCAGAGATATCATTTAAGAGAGCCAAGGGTGACATAAGGGACTTACAGGGAGCAACAGCTGCAGCATTGGAAAGGATTAGATATTAGAAAATAAGCAAATCAATTAGGCAGTGTAATAATTTGTCAAATGAGGCCATTAATGGCTATCACCGAAGGTGTTCAAGAACAGCAACATCATTACATCATGTGTTTTTCATCTCAACATGTCCCCAATAATTTTTCAAATTTGGGACCCACTCCAGCTTGCTGTGAATCTGAAGGGTACAGGGACAAAATGTGTGTGAGCTGGTACATACTTTGCATTCTGTAGGGACTAGCGCACCCATCATCCATACTGCCACTTCTGGGTTGAGCTGCACAAGGGTTTTAACACCACACACACCATCACAGTGCTTCACAACAAAATATTGCTGTCCTTCCACACAGGAATGACAGTCAGCTCCTATGAGTCTAGTACTCCAGAGGCCAGATTCCTTTAGCTTAGATTAGCTCTGTCCTTAAGGCAAGATCAATGTCCTCAGAAACCACTACACCTAAATAATATTTCCAAGCAGAAGTGCATACGAAGACATTGAGAATTTCAGAGGGATGACAGCAGAAAGAAGTTCAAAACATCTGGAAACAACAGCTTAAAGCAATTTCTCAGTACTTCTCCCCTTTCTTATACCTTAGCATCCCCAGAAGCCTGAACTGTCATAGCAGAAAACCATCCCACAATTTTTTTTCCCTTTGGCTCCAGAATAGTTTGGAGTTTTTCCTGTCCATGTAAACAGTAAAATTTGTATTTAAGCAAGAATTGTCATATGGGAGAAAGGAAAAAATATGTCAGGTGGAAAGTGGTTCAGCAGTTCTAGGTAGAGTCAAGGGGTGTTTCTAATCCTTCAGGTTTATTTAACTTCTGTTTTTCACATACATGTGAAGGTAGGGGTGGATGAAAGCACAGACACAAAAAGCAGACTTATAAAGCTTGGGGGCATAGTTTTATTGACAGCATTCACTACAGCAAATTCACCTTCAGATACTGATTCTTGTTCTAAGCATGAAGGGTTCATCTCTAGATGCCTTGAAAACCCCACAGGGCTTTGCACATAGTCATGCACAAACCATCTCCAGTGCACTCTTGGCTAGCAAAGCTCATGCAGCTGCTCCTTCAAAAAAGCTGATTTTTTTTTTTTCTCTAATTTAGTTTTTGGCAAGCTTTGTTCAAGCATTGGCATGGGATAGGGATGTACAGGGGCAAATGGTAAGAGAGAATTGGGGAGCCTCAATTTGAACTGCACAATAAAGTATGGAATTGCATATGACCTTTCCATCTCTCTGCAATTCCAATACAACTGTCCATGGGGTACATGATACAATGGATCAAGGATACCAAAGATGTTTGCAGGGTACAAAGAGAGATTATTAATTCAATATTATTAATCCCCTGAACAGAGGGAATGCTAGAACAAATGCTTAAATTTTTCTTTCTGGATTTCCAGTTTTCATGGCAGAAAATATCATCTCATGGGACTGACAACAACACAAAGCTGCCCCTGTAGGCAGCCTGCAATATTGAGCCCAGAAGAGCAGGGAAACACACACATACACACCTTACAGACACAGCCAGTGCAGAAGAGATAAGAAGGAGCCAGCAAAGGCTTGCACAGACTTGCACTGCTTGCTAACAGTGACTGTCCATCACTACTAGCTGGCTCAAATAGAACATGCTTTTGTTAACATCCCCTAGCTATAGAGAGAGCAGTTCACACTTCCCCAAGTTATTGTTTGAGGCATTCTGCCAGGCAGCCCCTTTACACCCTTAATTTTCAGAGATTTTCTTTGCAATGCTAATTGATAGAGATTGCAGAGTTTTGTTTTTAAGTCAGATTCCAGGAAAGAAGATGACAATCGTTGCCTCCCCCTCTTTTTCCTCCTTTTCTGCTGAGGCATATGGACTTGGCTAACATAAGAGCTCATTTCTGCCACAGCTGCAGTTTGACCATACACTAATCCATCAAGAACACTGACCAGCCCTTGCTGTCCATGTTCTCTTGGCATCTTCATGCTGTTGCATGTCAGTGATAAAACAACTGTTTGTGAGCTCCTGTATCCCTTCTCTGAACTCTATCAGGAAAATAGTATTCTCATCCCTACTTTTGGTTCATTTCACAAACTGAGAAATGGGAAGAGTGTGGGAAAAGAAGCAGGAATACCCAGAGCAGCATGCTTAACAAAGCATCTCTTTGGTTCATAGATTGTCTTCAGACTCCCACAAAAATCCACAGAATTTCTCTATACATTTAAATAGAGTCCAAATGTGGAAACCCACTCTGCCAAGGTTCCTTTACGCCAGTTGTGATACAAGTGCATCTACAGAGGAATCCAAATCACAGGTGGGATATGCTAAGAACAGAAATTAAGGATATGTAAGTAAAGGGCATTTAGGAGTGACAACAATTATTAGACAAGGACTAGCCACAGTGCTCTTTAAAATGGCTCTCGTAAAAAGGTGTGCACCTATCCTACGCAGGGCACTGGAAGCAGCTCTGTTCTCTCTCTCCAGAGCAGCCCTCATGTCAGGAGTTGCAAAGGTGGCCCCAAAGTCATGCCAACATGAGTGGTATGCTGAATCACCCAGTGCAGCAGGGCTCTGGCACCAGGCGCCTGCCTGGGGAGTCTTAGGACAAACACCCTACAGAATCCCTACATCAAACATTTTCTAGGGCAGTACAATGCTATTGATGTTTGAGCAGAACTTTCATCCTGAAGCAGGCAAGATCAATTTCACTAGTTGGTCTTCAGACATTAACACCTCATAAAGAGGATGCTCATGCCCTGCTTATCTGGAATGTGTCTTTAATTATCTTTTGGTACTGCCTTTTGCAGCCCATTACTTACCAGTCAACACTGCTTTAATTATGGGCTTGGCAGTAACAAGCAGCTCTTACATCATTGAAATAAAAATGCCAAAAAGCAACCCTGGTGAATTGCAGAGATTTCAAATCATGTTCAAATGGAAAACGGTGGAATTCAGCAGAGCAGCATGGATTCTCATTCACAAAGATTTCATACCATGAGCAGCACTCTCATGGCCAGGGGCACCCAGCAGCCCTCCAGAGAACATGAACAGACAAGTGATGGTTGTGCTCTCACCTGTTCCTCAGAGAAAGGAGCACTTCCAGCAGCCTCACTTGCTTGGAAAAGTGTCCAGACATGTCCAGTGTCATGGTTGTCAGCAGGATAAGCAGGTTGGAGGCACATTTTGCATCTTGAGGAAAAAGAAGGCAACATTTATGACAATCCTTGCTTTTCAAGAGTATCCATTCCCCAGTCCAGAACTGGCTTTTGAGAGAGCTGTCACCTGCACTGAGCTTTCCCTTACAGTAAACACCTTTGTTATGCCCAAGCATTGCTCTAGCCTTTTCTCCTACCAGAAATAAATGTTGTTTCTAATGCTTGAAAGTGGAGGCAAAAAATATTGCTGAAAAACATCACACACTTTTGGGACATAGCAGGCTTGCTCATAATTCACACTAAAACCTATAGATTGCAAGATGAAAAAGGCATTAGACCAGTTCCAGATAACTCAGAATAACCTCATGCTTTAGTATTTCTTATATTTAACTCTTTAAATATTAAAATCTATGGAATTGTTTGCAATGCTCTGAAATCCAGGAAAATTATAAAAAATGTCTGTCTCACCTGATATTTAACTCTTCACCAATGACAAAAACTGGATACCTGCCAGGGAAGGCAGGAATCTATAACCAGCTCAGTAAATGACATA